TCTTGGTTCAGAACTTATTTGCCAGTGGGCCAGGGAATCGACCGTAGGTTTCCCATCCAGGAGTCCAGGTCAAACAGACTAAAACATGTATTTCCAGATTCGCTGTACTTAATGAGGGTCCGGTTTGTTCAGCGCTCCTGCAGGGTGCCCTATATTTGTTTCTGGGGTGATGTTGAAGGTGCAATTTTCGGAAACCATGTTTGGGCGAGTGAGCTTCTCCTCAGTGCTCAGGCGGCCACGTACGTGCACGTTGGCCCCTTCAGTGAGGGCAACATGCTGTCGAGCTGTCAAGATTGACGTCGCAGTCCGTCAAGAGGCGGATAAGGTTAAGATAGCCACGAGAGAAGCCTTGTCAAAGCGTTAATAGGTGATAGCCCCGCCTGCCCATGGATACCCATGTGTTTGCCGCCTGCCCTTAGACACCCGTGTGTGTGTGTGTGTGTGCGCGCGCATGCGCGCATGTGTTTGTATTTATGTGGTTGTGTTTGTATTTGTGCTTGCGTGTGCTTGTGCTTGCTTACTTGCGTTCGCTTGCACTGTGCTGGTGTTTGTGCTTGTGTTTGTTTCAGCGGCGCCCTTTGAGGGCACTTCTCTTGTGTCCGATATTATGTTGACCCTTTTCAATGGGTTTGGTGTGTGTGTGTGTGTGTGTTGTGTCAGTGCTTGGGGTCCTGCTTCAAAGGCTGGAAACATCCTTAGCAATGAGGGCTTCAGGAAAGATAGGTAGCCCTGAAAGTGTCTATCCGAATTGTTTCCAGAACCAATAGGTTCTACAAAGCTTTCGTGCTTGGTTTGGGGCCGGTTTCCTCCCAAGCTGGCTCGAGTTTGTGAGTTCGCAGCCACTTCTGCTCTCGCCGTTCCTCGCGAGAGCCTCTTGCGCGGGCAAGAGGCACGGTGTGGGTGCAAGTTGGCCAATGTTTTCTGGTGGCCGCAAAAGCCGTCACTTGATTTCTCAAAGGAAAGAGCTATGCCCCTTACCTGAATCAAACTCTTTCAAACAATGGGGGTACCAACCTATGAATCAGTAGGATGGGTATAGGATACGTACCCTAGGGTCATGTGATGTCCCTTGAGCAATTGCAGGGTCCTTTTTCTTTGGGGCTTCAAGGAAAATCATGGCCTGGCCCGAATATGTTATGTTTTGCGGGTGGGGATGGCGCGTCCCGTGTTTGTCCTCCCCGATGCTTGGCCTTCCTTACACATGATGATCCGCCCGTCCCAGACCTCGGTTCCCGGCCTTGTGGACCTTGTGGACGTTGGGAAGTGGGGGGGTTTGGGATGCAGAAGGGGCGGAGCCTTTTGAGTTGCACGCAAGAATCAACTACGAGAGTTTTGCTGCGCACGTGCCCCAGCAGAACCCTGCGAGGGTCAGAACAAAGAAACGATCCGCGAAATGGTTTCAGGTTGGTTTCCTTCCATGTGGCAAGGTTTGACAGGGAAAAGGAGCCAGCAACAACCATGTTTCCCCTTTGTCCAGGAAGATGTCCTTTTCCGCAGCTATGGCAAATCGGCAGGGCAGGGGCTCTGAATGCGCTTTGCCATCCTTTGCCTAGGCTTCCGATTTGAGACCGGCATTATAAGTTATGAGGGTTCCTAGTTCACAAACACCATGACGCACAGGGACATTTTGTCAGCTCGCCACGCCTTCGCGCAGCGCCCGATTTTGGTTAAGTTTTTTGTTAGCCGGCGCCGAAAGCCCCGCCGAAAGCGCTTTCGGCGCCTTCGCCGCTTTCGCCGCCTGCGCCTGGGCGGCAAAGAGCACGAGGCGTCGCTGGTCTCGTGTTGGACTGGGTGGCCTAAAGTCGAAGGATGCTCAAACCAGCGAAATTGGCTGTGGGTCAAAAATAGGCGGCCCAAAATGGACCCCTGGTAAATGGAGAATTCGACTAAAACCTGCGTACCCCTGGGTCTTTATGTTTGAGCCACACCCCAAGATCCCAAGGCGATGCAGCAGCCGGCGGATGATGGGGACGCGCAGCAGGGCGAGCTTCCGAGCCTTGGGATTGGCTTGAGATGCTCTTTCGGGGCTCGCCTTTGCCATGATTCCTTGGGCTTCCCAGTGCAAACCAACCAACAACATATCAAGCTGAGCTCCCTTTCTTCCCATGTCCACCGGAATGCAGGAAATCTCCCAAAACTATCTGAAGGGGTCTCCTGTCACGATGTTGGTTTAGAGTAGGCCAAATATGAAGTAGCTTTGCATGCTGCAGCGGAGACTCTTTTTGGGGGAGAGGGAGTACTTCCTGTTTAGCAGTTCTCAAAAGGACGTCCAGCATGACAGCAACCATGTTTGGGGTCCCTAGTTGAGTATGGGGTACTCCCCAAATTGAATTCTGCCTACCCAAGAAGAGCAGTTGCTGTTTGGTATTGGGCAGCAAACCGTGTCCCGGAGCCAGGAAGCTTTACAGATATCCTAAGATTTGGCAGCTGTCGTTTTAGCTAACTAGCCAGTGGGGATTTCACGCCTATTCAATGAAACTGACACTATAACGGACGCCTATTTTTCGCTGGGTTGTTGAAAGCCAATGCTCAATCCTTATGCCAGACAGTTTCTCTTGCCGTGCTGTCCTGGCAACGTTAGAATGGGAGTCTCCAATGTTGAAGGGAATGTCCACCTGCGGGGTTTGGAGGTAATGCTTGTATACCACCAATGTAAGCCCGCAGCGCAGCATGTGCCTCTTAGAAGTGGAAACTCAGAGTCCATACCTCCGCACCCGCAAGGGCGCCTCACGCGATTCGGGCCACGCTTTTTGGGGTGGGGTTGAGACAGAGCGGTTGGGGACTGAATTGCGCCTGATGGTTATTTAGGAAGCCAACACGGGATAGGTCATCGATCTTTTGGAAGAACAAGAGTTCCAACAACATGTTCAACCTAAAAGCGTAGCTTTGATCATCACCTTGTGTAAAGACCAGTGGTGAGTGTTTTTCGTGGTGAGTGTTTTTCGTGGTTGGTGTGTAAGGGGGAAACACGAGGAGCCTGATTTACATTCGCGTTTTGGGCACCTTGTTGTATTCCATTTACTGGTTGGAAAGAATTGGGAAGGCATCCGTTGCGACTTGTAATGCTATGTAGCATGTTAGTTACACCTTGAGTCAGGTTACGCTGATCAGTTGGTGGCTTGGAATAGCAGAAAACACAGTTTTGACTCTTCCACCGTGTCTTGCATCCTTGTCGTTGACCGCCTTGGAGTCGCTCGTCCGGCCCATGCCACCAAATGCTGAGTGCCACCAAAGCGTGCCTTTTGTCACATGGTCCTGGGTGTTTCCTGCACTGACCCCAGAATTTCGGCACATTCTAGTGAGCCAATACGACAACATGCTCCGCGCCAAGGCGCGGGGCTCGGCTTTTGGTTTCCCGAACCGGGAACTCCGGGCCTTTGGCTCAAGAACGCGGTGCCAGGACCCCTGTCCTGGCATCCGGTCGCTTTTTGGGATCCGAACTCACCAGCCCGGCCTCGAAAAAGCGGCCCCGGGCTGTTCTTGGCACAGCGGCATTTGGTTTTCGGTTCCTTTCCGTTCTCAGTTGACTCACCAAGTGTTGCCTACGCAGAGGGTTTTTTGAAGCCAGGACAAACCCATGAAGATGCCAAGCTGCAGCTACTTCCGGCTTGGCTATCAGACTTGATCCCTAGATGTCCAAGTTCGTTCGGCGGATGCCCCCTTAGAGGCTGTCTTTGAGTGGGTTTATACGAGATAAACTAACCACCAATGGTTCTCAATTATTTGTCTACCACTGGTAGATTGGCAAGATTCCTTGTTGCCAGCTTATGAATGATAACATTTGTGCGGTTAGTTGAATGGGACAGCGATTTTCGGCAAATCTTGCTGGATTTTCGGTTCCAACTAGATTTTTAAGAAAACATAATCCTGAAAACTGAACCTCAGACTTGGCGTTTCCCAAACTGGCGTCCGTTTCGGATGTCTGGCTGATGAGAAACCAGGGGTCTTCCCCTTTCTGTTCACTTTGGTGGTTGGTTTATGAGGTTCCTACAACAGGCAATCAAAGGAAGAGCTGCCGTGTCTTTGTTGTTCTCTTACCTTTTTACCCTCCAAACATCTTGCAATCCCGAAAGCTCTCTTTGGGGTTTGCTTTATTCCTCCACCCCTTTCTTTGCCTTGTCCAATTCGCGGGGCAAATCGACTCGGTTCGAGCGATGGCCTGGGGCATTTTGAAGCCCAGCAAGAGCGGCTGCCCGGGGGAGCGCCAACCCGGGTCCAGGCGAGGGAAGTCAAATCTGCTGGCCGGAGGCGAAAAGAAAACCTACCTGGAGTCTCCATGACCCTTAAAAAATGGGTCCATGACCCCCATTGTCTTGGGTAGTGATCTCATGTTTAAAGGGTCATGGAGACTCCAGGTACCCTCTGTCCCACTAACATGGCAGCGGACAGTGGGTCCTCCAAGGCCTCCCCACAAGCGCCATGTTTGTGGGAGGAGCTGCTATATTCAGATATTCAGGCAACCCTTACTTGGCTGCTTCTTGTGGTCTGGGAAGCCGTCCCTTGGCTTTGCCTGAGGGTTCGTACTCCATGTGTGGCTGGCAAACTTCTGGCTTCGAGATGCTCATGGATCTCGGGCTAGCCAAGCTCCAGCCCGCAGTCCTTAGCCCCCATCGGAGCTTTGCGCCGTTTGAAAGCCCGAAGGGTACCTGGATCAATTTCCAGGGTTCGGTTGGGGTTCCCTGTGCTCCGGGCCATTTGGAACACGGGTCATGAGCTTTTCAAGTGGCACACAGTCATTTTCAATTAACACACTACTCATTTGTCCAAAGCCAACCTTTTGACCTTTTGGTTTTCCAATTTTCTTCCATTTGTAGTAGAGGTGCCAAAAGGTTAACCCAACTTTCCCAACCTGTTAGTTGGTGATTTCTTTGTCATTGCCGTATAGATTGACAAGCTTGCCTCAAGGCTTCGGCATTGATCCGTAGGCAAGGCCAACACCTCCTTCCTGAGAAATCCATGGGGATTCGCTTCCGATCCGTTGGTCAGATTTGATCGGTTGA